AAAATTTCGCAAACACACACAAGAGGACAAATTTCCTACCAGATATTGGGTCTGGGTCCGGGCTCGGGTTTGGGATTGGGGATTGGGTTTGGGTTCCATGTCAAGCTCATTATAAACTTTGGTTTCAATGCTCCCCTGGGTGCTAATTTGAGCTTTGTGTGCGTCTGTCAATGTGTGCGTGGGGCCTTTTAGTGGATTCAATAACGTAATTTTCATTGGAATTCGCAGCATTAGGCGACAGAGTCATGATCGAAATTGCAAAATGATTCAATGGGTTCGAAATTACCCCCCCCCCCCCTTAAATTAGGGGAAGAAGAAGACGAAGAGAGAGAGGGAGAGAGCAAGAGATAGAATGAGAGAATACAATTTTATCTAAAGCTAAAGCAATGCGTTTGACAAACTTTGAATCTCAGAGAAGCGGATGCCGTTTGTGCATGTGAATCATCCGCATGTGATTTCCTAAATGACAAAAACAGTCGAACGAGTGAATATATATGAAATTGCCCCCTAGCAGCGATTCTCTACTTCTCACTCGTGCTCTCTACATCTTTCTCTTCAGCTTGAGCTCTATATTTAAGTTTATTTCGCTTTAGCCTTTGCAATTTGGGAGCTATGAATATGGATATATGTAGTTATGTTTATATGTGTATATTTGTACATATGAATGTGTATATGTTTATATAAATTTATTCTCACATCTCAGTTCCGCAATTTTATTCATTTATGTAAATATGTTTATGCATCGTTCGCTTTATGTTTGTTAGCATATGGAATAGCTGCCGGTTCTATTTTATACTTTTCAAGACTACCCCCTTATATAAAGCCACAAAAAGTGTTGGCCATATCAAAATTTAAAATATTTCCATAATTTAATTTGCCAACATTTTGCATTTACTGAAATTCAACTTCAATGCAATTCATAATTTAAATTGGCTCTTCAGAAAAATAACATTTGATATGTAAATACGAAATGAATTTTTTACTTATTGCTTTTTTTTACTTATTATTATTATTTTTGTATATGCGATATATGATATACGCAATTGTACTTTATTCTTTGCCTGGCAAATGGAAATGTTTTAATTGATATTGATGATGCGCTCTCACCCCCGCCATGTGGGGTGGTTGGTGGCTGGAGGCTGGAGGCTGATGGCTGATGGCCAGGGGGGCCAATCTCGGCCTCTGCCACAGACAGTTCGCTGGTCATTAATATGATTTTCTGAATGGAAAAAGAGCTTTATAGAAGGAGTGAACAAATTCGAACAAAAGGCGACAGCTGGCTATTGTATTAGTTACGAATTATAATATCTTTGTGATTCATTGCAGCTCAAAGTTTTTAATTGAAAATTGAAACAGATTTGTGTACCCAACAGCAGGTGCACAGTCACAGATATGCATATATTATATTTCAACGACGTAGTTGCTGGAAAACATTTCTCCTATTAAAATGACTCGTAATCTGTTTGTTGTCATAATAATCGCTTACATAAATATTAAACAAACCAGCGAAATAAGCTTCAAGCTATTTTCCAGTTAAAACATTTGCTTACGCGAATCATTCGTAATCCCTTCATTGATACAGTTAAGGCTTAATTAAACAAATTTATAAATGGGATCTTAAATAAACGCCCAAAACCAACACAAAAGCTGTAAAATTCCTATCGGAATTTAAGGCACAAAGTGCAGTTAATTGAAATCCAAGACGCAATTATTGCAAAAAGGGGACAGATAGATCAGAGATCCGTTCTAGCGGTCAAACTGATATAAGTACATACATGTATGTGTGTAACAGCTGATTGTAATTAAATGGCGACGCAACAAAGAAAGCGGGACAAAGTAAAACAACAACAAACGGTATAATGGCAAGTTTGATAAGCTTAAAAAGCGCTAGCACCATAAAGATGTATTGATATATTTATGTATATATACGTGTAAGTAAGGCGTGTATTTTCTTATATTTATGTATCTTGCCATTACAGCCTTTTATTTATGCATACGATTTTCTTTTGCTGACTAATCAAAGTTAATGTGTGGACGGAGAGTCAAACAACAAGTAAATAAGTATGGCGTACGTAAGCATGCATGTGTATTGTATTGTATTGTGTGTGTGTGTATGTGTCTAGTATGGCTTTGTTTGTTTGTGTTCATGTCTGCATGTGTGTATTTGTGTTTGTGTGTGTCGGCATTGTTAAAAACAGCAAATATAACGCAATTCGGTAAATTGTAATTTCTGCCACAGCCGCATGTTCACTCAAAAAGCGTTAAATTGTTGACCAAAACACTGCGAATCGTAAACAAAAATTATAAACCGCAACTCACCTCCTGTTCCTCGGCAGCTGTTGGCGTTGTTTGGATTGCGGCCAACAGAAACAGCGCAACTGTTGCTGCAGCGTACAACTTCATTGTGACAAGTTTTTTGGGTGTTGTAAGTGACGACAATATGATCGTAAATATTTGCGCAATTTCACGCGAACACCCTGACGACACAAACTATATGTTTAGTCGCACTTTACGTCGCTTTTATTGCTTTGTTTTTACACACACGAACACAGACAAACTATTATGCGAACCGCCGTCGCCTGCTGACGAACTCGTACTGTCAAACGATTGGAGCTCAGCTGTTAAAGTTACGTAGCCTTATGTTAATTTACAGCGGGCGCCAATTTAATCCTACAAAAATGGTTTTGATTGGTTTGTAAATTTGCAACGGTATGCAAGTATTTTATTTTTTTAAGCCACTAGATGGAAAATGTTGCACGGTTTGATTTAATTCATATATAATTTGATTGACAACGCAAAATATTAAATTACTTGAATGATCAGCTTAACAGCTGCTAACTGAATTATAACAGCTAACAATCGTTATCGTTGGCTGAATAGTGTGACCGTAGGCCAGAAATGAAAACTTACCTATCTCAATAACGATAACAAGCTATAAAATATTTGTTGCAGAATATGAAGAGCAGTTGTGGATGAATTAAGAGAAAATGGTAAATAAAAACGACACATGCTTGCTATTCACTACAATTGAGCATAGGTATGAAAGTTATTTAATAGTGAAGAAGCACACGAATGTGCTGGAATGGCCGAGACCGAAACCAGGACATGACCGTTACCGTGCGAACAGGCAGACCAAAACGGAAAGGATCAAAAACAAAGCGTAAAGAAATGTTCAATGTTTGGTTACCGCTGGCAACAGTAACCTATTGGATTTCAAATATTGATAAAACGCATTGTATTTATTAAATGAAATATGAGCACACATATGGGTCGAACATATTTAAATTCCTGCGTCAAAGTGCCTATAGACCCTTGCAATAATTGTCCGGCGCCCGTTTACAATCGCCCCAGACTTTGCATGGGCAAAAAGGTAAAGGCGAAATCCACCACTTGCCAACCACAAGATGCCACAGAGACTGCCAACTGGACGAGCCAAACGGGCATACGATCGCTGGCCAAGTTCTATGACAGCATACCAGGTATTAAGCTTAACAAGTACTGATTTGCATTTAACTAGAAGTCTTTCATTACAGACTACTGCGAAGTGAAGCATCTGCAGAACGCAGACTTTTATTCAACTCTCGAAAGTCTTCGCACCACCAGCCGAGAGTTGCGCGCCCAGCCCGCAACGCCGGAGCAAGTAAACGAGAGCGGCTCCTGTAAGGTAAAGCAACACAATAAGAAATGCAAGAAGGTTAAAAAGAAAGCACCCAGCATACCACCGTTAATCCTGCCGGAGCGGGGCACACCCACCCCCGATGTCGCACATAACACGAGCTGTCTTAGTGAGGAATATGAGAAGTGCGTTCGTGATTTAAGTCGCTTGGCCAGCTTCAAGCAGGATTTTGCCCTTGAAGTGGCTGACTTTAAGCAATCTCTGAAGGACTTCGAGCAGGAATTCATGCGCAAAGCTGAGCGTCCCAAGTCCACTAGCAATGCCACCCAGACCCACAAGATAACGCCTATGCCCAAGGTGCCGGCCATGCACACAGCAGAGCGTGCCAAAGTTCGCAGCGAAATGCTAAGGAAGAGCTACAGTGTTAATGATTTGAGTGCCAGCGAACAACCAGCGCCCAAGCTGGGGCTGTTGACGCAAAGCAACTATTTTTCAAACAAAGAGGTACCCAAGCTGCACATTGAATCCCCCTCAGTGTCTTCCAAGCGTAGTAGCAACAGCTCCGCTTCGACCTCAAGACGCGTATGCAAGCGACGTTCACGCAAGATAATGGTGGCCCCTGTGCAGACGACAGGACAGGAATCACAGCCAGGCAAGCGGATATCTAGTGTTTCTCCGCAGCATCCAGTGGCTCGACCCAATCTGGCGGCCACCCTGCGTGCTGAGGTTTCGCGCAAAAAGGTGAAGGAGCTGAAAAACAATTGCACCTATCACGATCCCATCCCACATTTCGATTGGGAGGTGCGCAAGACGCCTGCCTGGAAATCGTTGTCCCTCAAGTAAGTCACCAAACCAATTCGTGAAACATATAAGTAAATATTGGATCATTCCAGTGAACCGCATAAAGCACTGCTTTCCATACGGCTGGCCACGCGCAAGGCGGAGCAAGCGCTGCAGGAGCAGCAGTACGAGCTGCACATGCAAATGATGAAACAGCGTGTCAAGTCGGCTCCACTGTTGCTCGAGGGTCAGACCTATTGGGGTCCCGAGGTGGGCAAACTCAGCCACAGCTGCCGCAGCGAGGGCATGCGCCATGGCTGCGAGAGCAACCAACAGCGCCGAATTAAGCAGCCCAAGAAAAAGTGCAATAGCAGCCGCTGTCCAAATGGGATCACTGATGCGGATCTGAAGGTGCAGCAGCTGCGCAAGATCTATGGCGCGCAGCTCAAGCCCAGCTCACGGCAATCGCAGCGCTCCACTTCACGTCGTCGACAGGTGGAGCAGACGCCCGAGCCGCACGACAGTGGCGATGATTTGTGCAGCGTGGATCGTGCGTTTCTGTAAAGCAAATCTCTCTGCACAATAAATATATTATATAGCATTGTCTTCAACTCAAGAATCGAGCAGCTTTATTCAAGGTTGCTTCAGTGATTGCAGTGCCACAAAGTTTGTGACGACGGGAAAGGAGCTGGTATGTTCCGCGGTGAGTGGCGCATTGCCAGGACGAGCCAGCAAAACGGTTTGCATGCCCGCATCACGAGCAGCAGAAGCTTCTGTAAAAATTTAAATTAATTATTGCAAAGTATGCACAAAAGATCCTAGCTGTTAACGCACCCTCTGGCACATCTGTGAGGAAGAGCACATGCTGCGGGTCCACCTCCAGCGATTCAGCAATGCGTGTGTATGATTCGGTTTGCTGCTTGTGTCCCACGTGCGTGTCGAAGTGTGCGCTCAGCAGCGGCAGCAGATCACCGGCTATGCTATGCTGAAAAATCAATTTCTGGGCAGCTACGCTGCCGCTCGAATAGACGGCGATGCGAAGGCCAGCATCACTCCAGGCCTGGAAAGCCACAGCGACATCCTCATAGACACTGTCAAGATTAATTAACGGATTTAAGATTCGTTTACTTAACGACTGATAGCTACTTACTGCCCCTTAAGCTCCCCGCTCGCATAACCCTTGGCCCAGATGTGACCCTGCAACGTTTTCAGCGGAGTAACCTTCAAATCTTTTTCGATAAGATAACGGGAAAAATCAGCGATATGCGCAGCATTAATCTCTGGTCGAGTTTCTAGAGTTGAAGCATATTCTGTGTACTGTGGCAGCTGCTTTAACTCCTCGACAATTTGCTTAGTATCATCCGTTTCCCATGTCTCCGATAGGTACTGCCGGGCGTTTGCTTTGGCATATGGAAAAAGTACATCATGGACGAAGGTAATCGATGTTGTGGTGCCCTCAATATCAACCAGCACCACTTTGGCGCTTAAATCTGTTAATGCCATGTTGACTTTTTTGACTAAAATTTAGTAACTGCTCTCCGCTTGAAATGTTGAATTTATTTTAACAACTGCCTACCGGCCGACCTGTCCAAAGTGTTTCGATAACTACATATCAAGCAAAGCCGATAAATCTTATTGGAATGCACCAATTCTAAATTCGCGCGAACTCTATGCGTGTTTCCCAGCACTGTAAATGAGTGCTGTATGACCGCAACTCGATAAATCTGCATATCGATTATACTAGTTCATTTCATGACTATTTCTATCACCGTGAAAGTGAATAGCGTTATAATTTTTTATTAATTTGCATTTGTAAGCAATTTGTCATTGCTAAAATTTGCTGAATTGCTAAAAGACGAGTAAATGCCACGTTCGAGCGACGCTACAAATATAGTACAACACAACGTGCAGAGAGAGCAATCGCAAAAGCGGAGRCGGACGCAGCTGTTGGGAGCAACAACAACAACAGCAACAATAAAAACAACAACGGCTATATAGCATCTTTTTGTTGTTATTCTTCGTTATTTTGGCTGGGCCTACGTGATTAAAATGCTTACAGTATAGCCACATTTTAATAGCTAAAGGAGGTCTGGTGAAATGCCCTGAAATTGGACCACAAACACACAAACACTCGCTGAAGATATCGCCCTGCCGTTATTCCGAAATCTACAATATTTGATATTGCGAGTGGCAATAGGCAGACGCACAGCTATAGCAATCGACGCTGTCAGACGTTCAAGGTTAAATACAAGCGTTGCCAATATGGTGTAAGCAGCAGGGGACGCGGCAAGGACATGCAAAAGCCACAGTCATCGTCGTTGCCAGCACGTTGCGCCATCTGCGGCACCGCTGAGCAGCTGCTCCGCTGCGCCAAATGCAAAAGCATTTACTACTGTTCCGTTGCGCATCAGCATTTGGATTGGCCAGCCCATCGGCATGATTGTCGTCTGCTGGCGCGCCAAAAGCAGAACAACAACAACAAGATACAACAGCTGCAGCAGGCTGTGGCAGCCACAACGCTGGATGTTAGTGGCGCCAATTGCTCCACCGCTCAAATGATGACGACCGCCGCACAGGCTCAGAGCTGGCCTAACGAACTGGATGACCTGTTCAATTACTTTGGAGAGCCAACGCTGGCTACCCAAACAGCTCAGACGGATGAACTGAATCAGCAGCATGATCATCAACACCATCATCCCCACCCCCATCAGCATCATCATCATCATGGCGAGAAGAGCTCCAGCTTTCAGATTGGGCTAACAGATTCCAGCTTCATGGGCAGCGGCAGGTGAGTTGCATTATCAAAACTTACAACTTACAATCAAAACTCATTTTTATTTTGTCAACGTCTATTGCACATAGAATTAATTTGGCATATGAGTAAGATGGCCGAAACGTGGTATTCCACAAAAAATAAAGTTAAGTTCTAATAAAAATGTTCGCTTGTCTCACCAGCTCCAGAAGGGAGAGCGGCTTGGCTGGCGCCTCAGTGTCCATATATTTTGGCTTCTGTCTGCAACGTGAGCTTCTGTTAGGATTCTGATATGTGTTGCACTTGTCCAGTACACGTTCAATTTCTGCTAAGGCATCGTTGCTGTTGCTGCTGCCGTTCGAGACTGGCTCCCACTGCGGCCTTTGGGGATAGGTGATCTCTGTGCCCGTGTTTGATGGCTGGGCTGCATAGATGGTGGCCACTGCGGCGCCAGCACCCTCTATCATGGCCAGCACTAAGCCCCCGACCAAGGCGCCATTACCCATTGCCTTGATACCGTTGCGGGCGGCTAGAATCCCGCCCGTGGCAGCGCCACTGACAATCGAGTTCCAAGAGTCCTCGCGCTGCCGGTAGTAGACCATGGTGCAGTCCACTGTGCTGAATGTGGCTCCCCAAACGGCAAAGCTGCCCGCTATAGCCGGTGTCTTCATCTTAACGGAGTCCAGACCGCCGTACAGGCTGCGGATGAAGCCCGTTGGTGAATTCCTAAATCCCCTCATATACTGAAACATGGAGCCACCAATGCAGCCCATCAGAAAGGCGCAGCCGCAATCCTCTACAATTCGTATTGGACATGGTTGACGAGTGTATTCAACCATTGTCGTCCAGAGGTCAAGAGTTGATCAAATTCTTCCTTTCGCTGTCTAAATTTCGTACTATCCAATCCAATTGATTGTGTATATGTGTGCATGTGTATGTGTGTGTGTCGGTGTATGTGTATTTGTGTAGATCGTTGTTAATGCTCGATCTTCGGGCAAAAATTTTTTTTATTATACAGAAAACGTGTGTTCTTGAAACAAACTTTTGAACGAACATTTCATACAATTATAACTTATACTTTAGTAATGTTGAAAATGTTTAGATCAATGCTCACTTTATGCAAGAAAACATATCTACCCCCCCAAAATACAAATTTAATTTACATATGTATATTCCTTTTTTCGATAATATATCTATTTATTGTTATATTTATTAAAATTAGAACCTTTTATCTAAATCCAGATTTAATTCCATTTATATAAATATGTACATACATATATTTTTTAAATTACGCTAAAGCCAACGCCCGAGAAATACATACAATACATACGTATAATTGGGCTACATACGTAAATGCATGCGTAAACATACATACACATACACACATACAAGGCGCTAATTAGCGATAAGCTTTACGTGCTCACATCTTTGGCACTGCTGAGTGCAGACCAGTTCGCCAATTCGCCGATTCGGTGCCAGTCCGCTAATTTATGATGTGCTCTTTTCTTGCCATAAGCAAATATGTGCCCTGCGATTAGATTGGGTGCAATTTCGAGTGTAGCGGCGGACGTTGTCTGGAATGTTTACCTTTTTTTCGTCGTTACGTGCGCGTAATGTAATGCACTTGCCCGAACTGCACACGAAGCGAGCCGAGGTGTCACAATGCCCTTTTCCGAAACGGTGCACGTACACAGCAAAACACATTATTTGATTTGTTAACACCTCTTACGAAGTGCAGTCGCATTTCGCTGAATGGCGCCGCTGCCTTTGTAATTCTGTTGCGCAGTTCCACCTACAGTTTTGCTTCTACATATATTTTTATTTATTTTCTCATGCTACTTTAAGAGATAACACACTAGAGCAGGTAAATGCCGACAGCTGCAAAATTACAATTCGCTATCGGCACGATGACTTCAGTGCTATTTGCGCTGAATCATCGATAAGTTCGCGAATTTATTTTGTTTTGCTTATTGCTATTCGTACTTACGTTTTGTGGTGGGTGGTCCCCGTTCCGTTTCAGCTTGGGTGGCCTCTCTCTCTCTCTCTCGCTCTTTCTCTTTATCTGCCTATCCCCCTATATCACACGCTCTTTAACTGTTTGCCTCAATTATTTTGCGTACGTGCGGCGGGTACGCAAACTGTTACGCTTTTAATTTTGCTTCTTATCTTATTAGCAAGTCTTGCGACGCGTTTTCAATCTGTCGTGGCTGCTACTACGCGACTTAATATTGGATTGGCTCTGTTATTCTTTATTAAACAATTAGCAATGGTATGTCGCATGATCTCAGCTCGCTAATTTCTGGCTACAAAGATAGCAATATAAATATTTACATCTGTATGTGATATTTTGTCAGACAGGCGGCACTTGTCAAGCAGCTTTCTGTCCCTTCTTCGAATGTGAGCAAAAATTTGTATTTTAAATGAGAACTGCTTTATAAACGGTAAATATCTACAATCGACGTTACAAAAGCAGGTTACAGATGTTTTCAACAAACTGTTGCGGCTGGTTCTCAATTTTCAACCCCATTACTTGCAACAAACGATTTCGCACATACATACAAATATATACACATACTTGTATATATGTATTGTATGTGGAGTTTTAACTACGTTTGGCCGTGTACGTCACAAGGTCGGATTGTATGCGTGTGCGCCGCCCTCGACAGCATCGACCACAAAGCAGTGATGAATGAGATATTAACTTGGGCTTCAAAGTGACTTTCGCGCTCTTTTGCAGTGTGTATGCTTTATATTTTTATTTTATATTTATTTCAAGTATTTAATATTATCATGTTAAAATAAATGTTTTTTAAGATAATATAATTACAATATTTCTATAAATATTGGTACAATTATATTTGGTTTTATCTTGCAACCGTGACAACTATCACTGCAGCAGTGAATAGTGACAGCAAGTGAGTACTTTGTGTCATCTCTGACGCGTGGTGCACGTGCCATGCTTACAGACTTCGCACGTAACATATCAAAGACCAAGGGCTACAATCGATCATTGAGCACACACACATAATTCATTTCAGAGCACAAATACATACAAATAATATGTGTTTATGTATGAAATGTACATGTGTGAGTCGTGCTGTTGGGCCCTTTAAATAATTATTTAAGCTGGCGACTTTGAACTGGGCCGTTGACCCAAATAATTGGAGTGCGCGCCCAGTCCCGCTCATACATATGTACATAGATGTATATATCTCTATAAATATATATACATACGTACATATGTACCAAAATATATATAACATACACAAATGGATGCCTACATGTACATATGCATGTATTTACAACTGTTTCCTTAGTTTCTCGTTTTTGTTTTTTGCTCATTTGCTTTGTCAAACAAATTCAAATGTCTTCGTTCACGCCTCTCTCTCTCTCTCTTGTGGCGTCTTCTCTGTCAACTGCCCGCTTTGATTTTCACGCATGTGTTTTGTGTTTGTACTGTGCGCTGGGCTACGTGAGCGCTCGCTCGTTTATTGTGTCAGCCACTCCGCGTTCGCCTTCTGTTTTGTTTGCATTGGTGTTTGTTTGAGGAGAGTTGCATGCAAGTTGAAGGGCAAGCGGAAACTAGCTTATGCTGATGAAGTTTGATAAATTTAACGAAGAAAGTCCTAAACGCGCTCTCCAACTACACGAAAACTACTATCTGATTGCCGGTCTCGTTTTCAATTACTCCCAGAAAAAAAACTAATGCATATGCAAACACGTAAAGGTAGCGCTGTAGCAACAACACTTTCCGCTACACGAGCCTCTAACGCAACACAAACTCAATAGTGATATATGCTACCAACACATGTGCAAACTCTCCCACTGCGTCGATCGAGCCGGTGAGTCGTTGTCGCTTGCCGTGTCTACCGCTCAGTTGTAAGCGTACGCTCGACGTGAACGGTTCGTTCATCGCTACAATTATCCAGAAATATATTAACTGTGTGAAAAATAAAGCAAAAGCAATAAACAACAAATGTGAAAAGACGTACAACAGCTACAATTACCATTGCAACAATTGGATAACGTTCAACTAAAGCTGTGCATACGTATGTATGTGTTTACTAGACTGTTAACCAACACTATTGCACTGATAGCAATGTACGATAAAAAACAACCGTTACTCTCGCTCTCTATGTGTGTTCCTTCCTAACTGCTTTCAATCGGAAGTATAAAAACGGGCAAGCAATTTCAAACTTTCATTAGTTGTGTGTGAATGGTTTCGGAGTCGCTTCCGTCAGTGCGCCAGCTGAAGAACTAAATATTTTCGCTAAGAACAAAGTGAAGTGAATATAAATATTTAAAAATATTTTTTTAAGATTTAATATTAAAATCTGATAAAACTGATAAATCGTAAACGCAAAATGATTACGTTCCCACCAACGGATTACAGTAATTTCTTCAAGCATTCGGCTCAGCCTGCCAATGCCGAACAATATTTTCGCGAAGCTTTGGATAAACGGTAATTCGAATAGATAACTATTTAATATTAAACATCGATAAATCGTGCTTAAAATTGAAACCGGTTCAGGTTCGAAGTTCATTATCACCGTTTCAATTCTACGCTCTTTAATTTGCAATTCGTTTAGACAAGTTTAAAGCTAAACTCGATGTCTCACAAGTCTTAAAAGTTGGCTATAATTTGTGGACGCTATTTTCGTTTTTCTTTATTGCTGTGAGCGCATATTTTCCCGTTCAGTTAATATTTTTGATGGATTTACGGTTTCTACAACCTTTCTTTACATTTGTTTTGCTTATCCAGAATTTAGCGGCTTTCCGCCTCTTCTGCCTTTTCTCTTCGCTATTCTCTTTTTATTTCTCTTTATGCGGTTATATGTGTGACTTTTGGACTACGTGACTGAAACATGTCCAATAAATAGCAACAATTTTATGGGTTGCAAAACATAAAAATGTCGTAAAACATGCAAATTCATAATAATTATACTAAGAAACTACTAAATAAATTATAGTAGTATTTACATTTCTATTTTAATTTAGTTTGGGGATAAAAATACATCGCATCTATACTTGAAGGTGACCCAACAAGAGCTAATAGGGATTAGATTTAAATCACAGATTTCGTTGAGATTGCCAAGGGATTATGCAAATTAATTCATTATTTTCTTTTTTTTTCATCATTGTTTACAGTGAACGTCGTTATGAAGATCTTTGTCGTAACATAATCAATGACATGAATCAGTATGGACTGTCCGTGGTGGACGACTTCCTGGGCACGGAGAAAGGCCTGAAGATCTTGAACGAGGTGCGCAACATGTACTCTGCGGGCGCCTTTCATGATGGCCAGCTGGTGCACAATATGCGTACCGATGCTCAATCGTCCACGTCCACGGTGCGCGGTGATAAGATTCGAGGTGATAAAATCAAATGGGTCGGTGGCAATGAGCCCGGCTGCAGCAATGTGTGGTATCTGACCAATCAGGTAAGCAGCCGTCAAGTGGTCTAACATTCCATAAACATGCATACTCACTTTTTGCTCTAATCTAGATTGACTCTGTGGTGTATCGTGTGAACACAATGAAGGACAATGGTATCCTGGGTAATTACCATATCAGGGAGCGTACTAGAGTGAGTACAGCTTTTGCATTGATTTGCTGAGATGTTTTTAATCATAATACCTTACTTTTGCAGGCTATGGTCGCTTGCTATCCAGGCTCTGGCACACACTACGTGATGCATGTGGACAATCCCAACAAGGATGGTCGCGTTATTACAGCCATATACTACCTGAACATCAACTGGGATGCCAGCGAGAGTGGCGGCATCTTGCGGTTAGTTGATCGATGATTATTTTAAGAGTGCATTAGCTAAGTTGTTTGCTTTGATTAACAGAATTCGGCCGACGCCAGGCACCACGGTTGCCGACATTGAGCCCAAGTTTGATCGCCTGATATTCTTCTGGTCGGATATACGTAATCCGCATGAGGTGCAGCCTGCGCATCGTACCCGCTATGCCATCACCGTCTGGTACTTTGATAAAAAGGAGCGCGAGGAAGCGCTGAATCGTGCCAAACTGGAGAACAGCAAGACAAACAATGCCAATGCTGTGGCGCAGCTAGCGGAGCCTGACTCAACAACCTCACCCGCGCCATCTACAGTTACAGCGGCTGCAGCCACCTCCACCTCCACACCAGCGTCCGCATCAGCATCAACAGTGTTATCAGCGAACAAGTCACTTACACCCGCCAGCATGACGACCGGAACAGGATCGCTCAACGCGAATGTAGCGAACAGCTCCTGCCCGGCCAGCAACGAGATTTGCACGTAGCTACCCGTCGTCGCTTAAATCCTGTATATATAACTATATCTATATCTAGCCCATATATTGTAGTGACTAATGGCACAGCGATAATGGTCAGCTTAAGAGTGTATATTTTATCAGCCAATACACATTGTAAAAAGCTAGTTAAAACCTATTTATATATAATTTTTAAGCACGTAATCTTATCGTTATAAGAAGTGCAGTTAGGGAAACTGAACTGTACAAGTCTAACCTACATAAATGTGAATCAAAGCTCCTTTAGTCATTTAAAACTTTAGTTTTAGCCACTAAGTCGTAGTTCTGTAGTTAATTTCGCATTAACCTTTAGCTAACTGCCTTATCAGCGACATGTTGATCGTTTTTATATTGTATCTTATAATCTGTCTGCATATACGCTCTGTAAAAACTATCAAAATGTGCATAGTTTGCCAAAGTATTAAAGCTATGATGAAGCGATATTAATATTGATTTCCCATCTCAAAATTTTGTTAGCAAACAAATCAATTATTTATTTTGAATGTCATTAAATTCTCCGATTCTCATGATCATATACCTATCCGGTCCCATAATCCTTCTGCATATGTAAATCTCTTTTAATAGACAGCACAAATATTATCAATCATGTATATAATACATATATACATATATATATTTTTTATTAAATTAAAAACTGAGCAAAACCACAAAATGTATTCAAATTGCTTCGGAAATATAAACTGGTTGACTGACGTAAAATGAATTTGGATTGAAGGCATTCAATATTTGGCTCTGTGTTGGATTTATTTTGTCAGCCCCAAGATGACGCGCACAAAAGTATGCTTTACAAATAACATATCTTTGAACTGCGCCCTCTGTTGATTACATATGTAGTACCTGGAGGCCGTATAGGCAAGTTTTCAAATTTAACCGCCAAACTAGTAGGACGCCATCTATCGGTAAATTATACGTGTTGGAGTATGTAAATATGCTTTTAATTTAAACTGCGAAATAGAAATGATTTTTGATTTCACCATTATAATTTTCAAACAAGTAAAACTGCGTTTGTTTGATATTTGAATATACAGTTTATTTTTCAGAAAAGTTGTTCATCTTAGTAATGACTTTACAGTTATATATAGTATATATACGTATGCACATGCATATATATGTATATGCGTATTTATATATGTACTGCTTAAGCACATTTCGTTTTTGTATATGCGCTGCAATGGGCTTTTCCTACTTCATCCCATTTATCCCATTTTCCACTCTGCGCTTTGATACGCAACAAGTTATAGCACACATGATTTTTAATTTCGCTTTAGCTATAATTGTATTATAAGCTATTCATTTGAATGCCAACAGAAAAACAACTATGCGTTTGACAAACGAACAACCAAACAAATGTAAATTGATAAATTGTATAATTGAAAATTGCTTTAAATATTTCCAATGTCCACTTTCCATTTGTTCCTTCGAAACTTCTTTGCTTGCACTCTATGTACATATGTTCAATAATTTATGTATTTTATATAGTTTCAAAAATATTTCTGTATTATGTACACGAGCGATCTAATTGCCATTATAAGGTATGTCTATGTATGTATATGTTTATGTCTATGTATATGTGTAACTATATTCATATGCCTGCAATTCGTCGGTGGAAAAATAAAACTTTTCTGCTTGATCATTTTATTCATTTCTTTCTCACTTCCTTTGTCTCTGTCTGTCTATCACTGTTTTTCAATGTACTCTTAGTTTGCTCTGTTACTGTTATACTGTTATACAAGTTGAGTTGCCTCTGCCCACCTATTCAATATATTTACTATATCAATTTCAAATCTACCTCTGCTGGCTTTCCTTCAGCTAAATTTTTTGGTTTGTTTGAAGTGTTCGAAATGGCACAAAAATATATAAACTAAATTTTATAATATTTGTATGATCACTCTAACCGTTTTTTTTCAAACTCTAGTGCAATTGGTTTGGTTTTGTTTACAGTTATTTGGTGCACAACTACAATATCTTTTCGCAACTATTCAACACTGGCTTGTGGTATTTGCACAATTACTACTACTTCAAAGCAGACACCGACACACACATAGCTAACATAAATATGAAGCGTTATATATATGTATATGTAATTTGTGGCGTAATAAAAGTTAAATCAACACTCACATAATTATAAATAAATAAATATATA